TACCAATTCATAATGACATGACTATAAAACTAACTCTCCTTTATTACATTAGCACGTGAGTGGTCCGCATCATGTTTTTATTAAAAAAATAAATAAAAACAAATTATATATATTGACCAGTGACCTAACGTTAAACGTTACAATCAAATATCTTCATATAACGCATAAAACAAAACTAAATCCAGAACATGCCTACAGCATCAACGTGCACAGCGTTATTATATATTAATAGACCAATGACCTAATTATTTGTTCATCAATATATTCTACCGCAATGTATTTAATAATCTTTTATTATGACTAACTATGAATCCATGTTACTATACATGCTGAATATATTATAAGAATACAGAATAAAAAACAAATCGAAACAAATAAAAAGCATATAAGACGTGAACACACATTTTTTTAGTTCACCAGGTGGTCAAAGCGCGTGCGTGGGTTAAAGCTTCACGCATGCGTCCATGAAACGTCACGTTTATTTCAGTAAAGCGTACGATACCGCACCAAACGCTTCTCACTAAATCCAATAACACGTTTAAAAACAAAATAAAAGAAAAATCTAATAATCCTAATGTCACGCGTAAAATGCAAACGTAATATAAAAAAATGCAAGTGAAATTATACTCGTAAAAGTGTTCAATGATGCAGCAATGCGGCAACGAATCGATGCAACCAGTATTCCCTAATGCCAAATTAAATATTTAGTGTCAAAATAATAACAAAATATGGAACCGTTAATAGATAGGAACAACTTCGCCATCAGTGCAATGGTCACTGTTGCAATGCAGATACTCTTCTTCACTATCGCATCGCTATTTCAGAATGATAAAGTGACCGACTTCACTGGAGGTGCCAATTTCATTATAATAGCGCTTTTAACATTCTTCCTAGGCCAAGGAGGTAGCCACTTAAAGAGTTATGATAGCAGACAGCTTATGGTCACGGCATTCGTTTGCGTATGGGGCTTTAGACTGTCAGGTTACTTAATCTACAGGATATATCACATCGGAAGAGACAAGCAGTTCGAAGACAGAAAAAGCAACACTCTTAGATTCGCCGTATTTTATACGTTCCAAGCAATCTGGGTGTATATCGTGAGTCTACCTGTCATCATTATCAATTCACCTCACCACTCATTCCCTAAATCACCAAAAACTATGACGACTTTAGACTCTGCGGGAGCAGGTGTTTTCGTCATCGGATTGCTAATCGAAACCTATGCGGACCTACAGAAATTTGCTTTCAGACAAGAACCCGCAAACCAGGGTAAATGGTGCAACGACGGCCTATGGGGACTATCTAGACATCCAAATTACTTTGGCGAAGTTGTGCTATGGTGGGGAATTTTTATTATATCTCTCAACGTAATAGAAGGCATCGAATGGATAGCAATACTATCGCCATTGTTCACTAGCGCTATCATTTTATTTTTATCTGGAATACCGTTGCTAGAACGGTCGGCGGACGAAAAATATAGAGATAACCCAGATTATCTTTATTATAAGGCGTCCACGTCACCTTTGATACCGATACCTCCAGCTATTTACGTAGAAGTACCCAGGTTTTTGAAATTCGTATTGTGTTGCGAATTTCCAATATATGATTCGACGGGAGAAGATTTTCCAGCACCTACAATCGTAACTGAAACGACAAGTATATCGATGGTACAGTCTCAGACATAGCTAACGGGTGCCGCGCGCGACCACAGTGCGGCCAAGACAGAAACGTTACATAAAAATAATCAGTCTAACAAACAGTTGTGATACATAGCCGAAGAGAAACCTCAAAAGAAATTGCCAAATTCGTTGCCACTTAAACAAAGTAACACTGTAGATATGAATCTTTACAATACTTATATGGAAAATATTAGAAAGAGTAAGAAGGTCGCATTAGACCTTTTGGAAGATACTAAAGATATTTACGATGGGATTTCTGTTGAAACTCCAAGTAATCCTAAAAAGAATAGACCTAGCAATTTAGATATAGAAGCGGGGCCTAGCACTAGTAAGGATAATCCTAAGCGACAAATGGAGTACGTGAAGTATGGTAAGATAACATTTAATACCACTGCTATACTGCACCATTACCCGCAAATGTCGCAAAATAACATTAGTACTGAGAATTGCAAGCCTAAAGTGACGGTAGCTACTAAAAAATCTGATTTGAATCTCCCTATAGAAGTTAAGAGTGATAATAATAATGAGATCGAAGTAGACGATAAAGTGGCTAAACCTAAAAATGATAAGAAAGATAACTTCAACAATAACGAAAGTCCAGCCAAAGTTAACTCGATAGTTAATACAGACAATACAATTGTGTTATTGAAGAAACCTGTCAAATTTACTGAAGAAAAACTCGTATGAGATTTGGAGATAAAATTTTTTTCATTACATTTTCGAATTAGTAGACTTTGGCACCAGGCGATACGGCCACGGAGATTGAAAAGAAACATATCGAACATAGAGATGTTGTAAATAAAAATAAAAGACTGGATGAATTATATAAAGATAATATTATTATAATAAATTTATCAGACGATTTTAATATAAAACCCGAGCTAAAGATAGACTTGAAGCGAAAAATATTGTTGTAGTATCTGTAAAGTTTTAAATGAACGTTTATCCTTATAGTACCTTATATTAGCCTCAAATCCGTCTCAAATAGAATATTATTAATGTTTTAATATTATATAGATGTAAAGTAATATAGAAGAAATATAGCTGCTCGTAATTTAGGTAAGTCCACTTCCTATATAGTAACTATGTATATGTTTATTATAGTAACTATGTATTGTTATGTATATGTTTACACTTTTTTCTTTATTCCAAGTTTATTTAAAGTTTAAAAGTTTAAAATCTGTAATTTAAACGTTCAGTTCCACAAAAGTTCATTAAACTTGTTATTAGTTTGAAGCAATTTTTATATATATACTACATTACCGATAAAACAATTTCAAATTTAGATAGGCATGCAGCAGAGCTTGTAATCGTCATTAAACTTAATGGAAGTTTGAGAAACCGGATAACCTTTTTAAATAAAGCTAATGTTAAAATATGCACGCTAATGTTTACTTATTAATCAATTATTATTATTTTATTACGTGTTGAAATTTACACAAAATCTTGATTAGTGAAATACGAATTGATTAAAATTATTTTCTCTCAATGGAAGAGTTAAGCTGCGTCTGGGATAAAACATAACAATTAGTAACATCTATATCGTATATTTTATAACATAGTATATACTCGTAGCTAACCACTGCGTTTTCCACTGCAGACGAATAAATACTGCATTTCTCAGTCTCAATATAGATAACGTAGATGTTTACTACTAGGACTTTAGACTGCAGTTTGCATGTAAAATATAGTTTAAAGAATATACCTACAATTAGTTTACGTGAATCAGGATTTTAATGAGGTATTTAAGCACTATAATACACATGTGTTTTAAATGCTTTGGACGTGAAAAAGTAAAAAACTCGAGAAAGGTATTTCTACACCCGAATGAAGCTTTTCTGCGCCCAAGTATATATTTTTACTCATCTTGGGTGGCACATATACGATTTCTTATTTTTGACTCGTTTCTTGATACTTATGCTATTATTATTATCTGTCAAATTGTTTTTACTTGAAGAGGTAAGAAATGTACAATGATGCTCGTTCCTATCCCTTATATTTATAAATATTGTATGAATTAAACTGACATGGTGTCTAGATTTAGAAAGAAGCTTTTTCACGCAAGTATTTTATACCATTTTCTATACTGTAAATACTTACAATTATTTCTCTAATCGATTTTAAGCCTTAATCTTTTGACAGTTGAGTTCAAAATGTGTTATAGAAATTTGACCTTTTGTAGACCTTTTCTGTGTGTACCAAACAAAATTAGTAAATGGCCAAGAAGCAGCTTACCATATTTATATAGTATTTGTTATAACAAAATAGTTTTTTTTAAATTAGCTTATTAAAGAAAAGTATTTTGGGAAGACAGAAGGGAAACTTTATCAGAATAATATCCAGAGTACTAGTGGCTTGTTGGCCGGTAGCCAGAAAGATGGCTGTTGGGGTGTGGTCACGAACGTAGCGATATACGCGGTCGATTTGGTGAATGTAAAAGTTTTAAATTGAAAACAAGCAATGTGCATATAATACTCGTCATAAAGATAAGCTGCTATGTTGCTACATACGTCTTCTTTCCTATTTTATTTAAAACAATTTCTTTAGCTTCTTCGAAGAATCAATGACTTGAATATTAACTTGTGTCTTGTGAACAATCAAGTGATTTAGTATATTATCAAAATCCACAAAAGATCAATGTACTTGCGATTTGCTAGAGTTAAATGAGGACAATTTTATGCACTTTAATACAGAAATACAAAAGTACGAAATACGGTTACTTAAACGTCTTAAAATGACTATTTGTCCTTCAGCAACAGTTGTTATCTGAACCATACACGAGACTAAACAAATGCAACAGGGAAAACAAAAGAAGATAACCTAGTTACACTTAGGTTATTTTCTATTTGCAAATAACAAAGTGTATCAGGAAAACCATTTGAATTTTAGATTTTATTTTTCCGAGACAGGATTTGTATTGCGTATAAATTTGTTAATCGCATCGCACAAGTTTTGTCCTTATAAAAACAGAGATTTCTTTATTTAATCATGATTACATGCAGCTCACGATTTTGTGCTATATTTCCTTTATTGTCAAATAACATTTGTTCAAAACTATTTTTATTTTGTTTATTTATTTTCTACTTTTCCACCAGCAATGTTGCCTGCTTCAATTTTGTTATTCCTAGGAAACCTTTATGTAGATTTGAATGCGAGTATCACAACATTAAACTGGGCTTTAAATTATTTGTTTGTGCTTAATGTTATAGAAAATCGTTGTCACTTTGCCATAAAAGAATAACAAAAATTCAAATTTTCACATTCCAATATTTTTAGTTGGACTAAATCACACTGACAGTCTCTTAAAATTTTAATTTCCAGATTGACCGTAACTCAGATAACTAACGTGGGTATCTGCAACATCAACTGGCCCAACTTCGAGAACTGCACTCAAGTGACCTTCGCGGTGCCTCTAGTATACGAAGATCAAGATGATGATGATGATCATAGGCTTAATACTGAAGATCTGAGTTCCATGTGGTTTGGGTACTATAGTCGAGATCCGTTCGCTGCTAGACTAAGGAGATTGGGCATCACGGTGAGTAGGAGTTTTTCTATGAAATCATAAATAGATAAATATTAAAACCCTATTAGAAGTATCCGTGAAGGTAACTCAATAATAAATATTAAAGCCCTATTAGGAGTATCCGTGAAGGTAACACAACACTCAGACCCGATACAATATAGAAAAGTCCTTTTTCTAAATTGAGCCGACCGGGAATCGAATCTGAGACCGCAGAGATACCGATACCCTGAAACCGGTGTACCAACCACTCGGCTAGAAAGGTCGGAAATCGTTAGAAATATGCAGAGGTAGAATATAATGATAGAATGCGAAACTCAAGCTAGTTTGTTGTTATAATCTTTTACCACACTTATATAAATGATTTTAAAAAATACATAAAACAAAACTCTTCAAATTAATTTTTCTTCAATAGTACAATATTCAATATACATAGTAAAAATTTATTTTAAATGAGAATATTAAAGATATGCTAACCACATGTATATTAAAAACAACTTTGTGTCACATTGAATATATGATCATCTTAATATACACAAATTCAAAACTTAAATAAACCTAGAGAAAACATAATGTTTCTGTCCGAAGATTTTATGCTAATAAGAGACGACTCCTAGATTTTTATAGTAAAGGAAAACTATGAAATATTTTAATCAAGTGTCAATAAAAGTACATAATTATTTCCAGGAGTTTGTCAGACCCAATGACAAAAGCGTGCTTGCTACCTGGCTGGTGATATCACTTGGGATACTTGCTATCACGGTGATCATGGGCATTGCTCTCTGGCGATATAGCTGCTTAGGCTCCTATACTAGGTATGCAATAATATAACGATGTTTTTATTCAACTTGTATTAGTGTCAGCCGATGCAAATTTCCGTTATTATCAGTTCAAGCTTCATAAATATGCCATGCGAGAGTTTAATTCTGTTTAACCCTGCACAAAAACTTATCTAAAAGGTGGTTATAAATAAATACATTCAAGAGATTTCCATTAAAGTTAGGAGATTAGCATGTATGGGGTTATAAACCGTATCTAGATTAACTTTGATGCAAGATACTATAACGATATTTATAAAAGTCCCGTATCTGGATTGACTTTCATGCAGGAAACTATAAAATGCACTATGTTCAAATGCTGTTATTATTATTCCAGGATGCCGGAACCCAGTTTCCGTGACAGTATTTACAACGAGAAGCAGGGACTGGACTTGTACCCAACGCCACATCAGACCCTCCCGCCGCTCTACGACAGTGACTACAAGTGGAGTGACGGCAAATACGACCACTCTACCAGGGGTATGGAAACTTTTAACCAACTACATTGTATTTATAAATAAATGTCCAAATAAATTAAGTATTCCAAAAGTTAGATAATAACATCTGACACTGACAAATACCCAAACTAGAGCGTATAAAATGTATGTCACTGGACTTCTACTTGAAACTTACTCAATGAATTAATGAATATTCTTTATTGCACTATTTATAAGGTATATATAACTATATAAAGAATCACAAAAGACGACCTTAATTTTAAAGTAGCAATCTCTACCACACGACTCTAGGATTAGGGAAAAAATGCCAAGTAAACAGTATAGTGTACGAGAAGTAACAAAGTAAAAGTTTTGTAACATTTATTAAATATTTATATAAATAAATACATATTTTAAAAATAAATAAAGCAAAAGAGAATACAGTAAAATATAGAGTACTAGATGAGGAGGATAGACTTATCTCAACATTTCGATATCCGGAATTAGTCTTTAATTGGGGTTTTATTTTGTATGCCTAAATTCACGAGGAAATCTCCTTTAATTAATGAATTGAAATGAAGAACAAAACTAGAAAATTAATTAATGAACAAAACATTTTTTTATTCTTCTTGACCTAAAGTGTACGTCAGTTTGAAAACTGGCTGATATCAATTCAGTTTTTTCAGTTTTATCAAATGGGTATTGATTGAATTAATCTACGATATGTTTTGATTCCATGGGCCAATGACACTAACATAAATATAGCATAAATTGCCGAAAAATTTATGAGACTCACTAGAGTCCTGTAAACTTCAATTTAAATCACAAAGCTTATGAACGATATGATTAGCATCTCTTTAGATCTACATGTATAGTTTTGCATATAAATAATACTTACTATCTATTCAAATGCATATGATGTCAAAGTCCGACTAAAAAGAGATCCATGTAAAGTAGTTCTAATATAAGGTTCTAGATCAGCATTATTTTGTCAATCTTAATGTTGATTCAAATCTATACATAAATAGATATGAGGACTGGGTAAAAAAAAACTATTTAGTCCGCAAGTCAGGTAACAGAAAAATATTAGACATATTTTTTTTTACTTCAATTCAACAAGAAATAGCTTAGATAACAGGCATTAAAGTTGAAAAGTGGGGGCATGCTACGTCACAGTTTTGTAGAAAATGCATAAAATCGTGACGTCATGTATCGCCGTAATTTAATGATCACGCAATAAAAAACACGTGTTAATATTTTTCAACAATCTACTTGACAAACAAATAAAATTTAGTCGTCATCCCTATTGTCTGTAAATTTGAAATTCCTGGACGACACTAATTATAATTTCTGAGTAGGTAATATACTCGTAGAATAGTTGATTCCTTGAAATATGGATTATTTTAAATACATTATTTCATTGCAAATAAGCATATTCACATTTTTCATAGACATAGTTCATTAACTGCTGAATATTAATACAATTTAATTTAATGATGAAGTATTTTAAAAAAACGAAAGCAATAAAAAAGCACCTCCACTAGATGGCGACTCTAGCAAAAGTTGTTTTTTGCAAGTAACGAATGGACCAAATACAGTAATTTCCGTTCCTTTTAACTATTAACATATTAAAAAACTGAAATTTGAAAAGTTCGAAACTTCGATATCATTACAAATACGAAAAACTACAATTGTAATACGAGTTATTTATTGAGTTTTGAAAACTAATTTACTTTTAAACATAAAAGAAAACCGGAAGAGTTATCATGGAGAAATCAAGAACGTACAGTAGCGACATCTAGTTTGATTTCGGGAACTAATTTTATTTTTTTTAAACTACCTCATTGTTAATATTGCCTATTTAATAACATATATAAAAATTTCTCTAATTACAGTTACAATGGATGGTTATTCGAATAGAAATTTCACAAGGGACGAATTGTCCGACATCGAAACGGACGAAGAAGTAATTTCAACAAGGGGCAGGTGAGCTTCATGTTTTTTTTTTAATACTAAGAAGGTAACAAAAATGATGGCTATTGTATGTTTTATTTGTTATTAACAACCAATAGTATGCGATATCGTATATGATGAATATAAACAGTCGACAGTACGTCAGGTTACTATAAAGGACCAACATTTCTACAATCTATTTTAAGGCTTATAGTGCAAGAGCTTAGCAATAGAAGAAGAGGAAATCATCTTTTGCACCTAGTGCGGAAGTCAGGTGCTTGAATATATGGTGACAATATGTATTAAACGTGTTTTGTAATAGTTAAAAATTGGCAAGAAACTTGTTTTTGATATATAATAATAGAATAAACTCATCAGTTCTCGTAATTCAGAAACCGGGTTTTAGCCTAACTAGCAGGAATCAAATTAGCTCATACCCCCAAATTACTAATTTGCAACTTAGTTTTTGATTTTGAATTGAAAAAATCACAAAATGACCACCAAAATTCTCTATTTCATATTATAATTATACTTTTTTTTAAAGAAACATAATAAATTATGTTAGTAACTTTGCAGCTGCTTTGCAGGGAGCTTTGCGAGCAATCGATTAAAAATCACACGATCCAATATACTCTATCACTATATATCTTATTGCCAGGCACAATGAAATAGTCAGCGATTGTCTTTTGGTTAATGCCCTGTCTGAATATGTTGATAATGATAAATTAACTGCTCAATTGCTATTACAGATACACCACCGACGTGTAGCCGAATACTGCTTCAGTTTGCCTGTTCTTAACTGGTACGCTTTTTACTAACGCAAATGTGACATTATTTACTTTATTATTTACTAGTGATAATCAAAATAATGCATGATATTAATTCTTAATGACATATTATCGCACCCATGCTGGTAAAAACTGTTAACTGACATTTTTTTTACAATAAATATTTAAATACAACATTCGATAGAAAATTTTAAGCTGCATCTACTAGTATCATTAAGTTTATATAAAGATTGTCAGTTTACGGGCTTTACCCTTGTTCTCTTGACCGGTTATCATTTTAAATGTTATTTTCATATCAGAATTAAATCTTTTTGATTCTGATACGTTCTAGAGTATGATCTCTCATACCCTAGGACTATGATCTCATTGATAAGAAATATTTAGAAACTAGGTACACTAAATGTTTTGAGAAAGAAAGAAGGCAATTCACGTAATATTAAAACTTAGATGCCTGGCTAGAAAAGAGCATTAATCCTACATTTATTTCAATTAATAAAGTAAAATACCACAAAAACGGTATATGCTAATAACAGTTGTTGTTTTTTTACAGAAAAATCGTCATCATACCAAAGGTCGTCGTCATACGAAGCGTGATACGTGAAGAACAACATAACTAATAACCTAGTTTAACATTATTTAGAATGTTTGAGATTGAAAAATCTTATTGTGATTTATCTAGTTTAATATATATTAAGATTACAATTAAATTAATATACACTTAAGTACTGCTTATAAAAAACTTATTGAATCTAAAGTAGGCAATAAAACTATACATTATAATTTTCAAAAATACATAGTGTAATCATTTATTAACGGTAATGCAGAATATTGATAAATACATAGCAATTGAAAATTTCATCACAACTGAGTAAATTTGTATGAGAGACTATAGAGATAATCTAGAAATTTCAGACTTAAAAGTTTGTAAACCAGTACTAAAGTAGATCAGATATTAATGTCTGAATTGATATTAAATTATGGTTCCATGTTCAATAGATAAGCAGTACTTGAAAAAAATAGATGTAAGTGCTAGTTTACGTGATTTTCTGTGAAGCTACACACCTTTGAAACGACACCGAATTCCCAATATCGTTATTGTTATGTAGTTTAATCGAACCGTTATCAGTTCGCGGTACGAGTAAAAAATTACGTAATCGGTGTTCTATATAAATGCCATACGTAAATTATACCAAAAAGTTATACCAAACAACGTAAACGGTCATACTTTATCGAAGAGACTAAGGTTGAGCTCGCGTCTGTGTCTGTATACTAGACAACACGTCAAGTTACTTCAAAAGCGAAAATTCTACCAATCGATTTCAATACTTAATCTTTTGACAGTTAAGTTCAAATTTGATTGCAAATATTTGGTCCTTTGTAGCAACCTGATATGCTGCTGTATTCATATTACCATGAAGGGTTAACGTTACTGAATATTAATAGGGGTAATTTTCATAAATCGCTGTTTTATAAACCGTCGAAAATATTTATGGTATTATTCTTCCAATTAAGTAACAGTATATATGTATACTTTACTTTTTTACTGATAACGCTATATGAATATATAAGAATAGCTTTTAAACTGGTTTACAACGGTAAAATTAAATGTTGATTCCTTCCCTGATTATTTATTTATCGATATTGTAGATATTCATTCTAATAATATATGTACAGAAAAATGTACCTACTAGACCTACAGACATGAAATAGGCCCAAATGAAGTGGTTTTAAATATTTTTGTTGTAATAATGTTGATAGTGAGTTTTAATTTTTTTATTTATATATTGTTTTAATAAATAGTTTTTTAATTTTTATATAGTTTCATTTTGTTTGTCTAGTTATATTTATTTACCTTTTATTATATTTTTTGAGTGTTTACGGAGTTTAATAAAGGTTGTGAATTAAAAAAGATATTTAACTTATTCTATTTAATAAATATTTTTATGCGACACATTAAAATTTTAACAAATTTGGAATAATGGAATATTTTAACAAAAAAAAAAATACCTATTTTGTTTAACATTTTAAACCAACAAGGAATTTTAATACTTGCCTGGTAAAAAGTAGCTGATTATTCCTACACGATATAGCCGAAAGGGGGCAGTGGCCACAACCTTTTTCTTATGTCTTTTGGGCCACCTGATCTTTAAGGTTTTGCAAGTTTTCAGTATAATAAATTATACGCATAAAAAACATTTCCTTTATTTTCATTCGATACGAAAAAAAACATTCGATTTTATTAAAACTATAATTTTACTTTTGTATAATATTCAACTGAATTTCCATCTTAAAGCCCATATATTTAACAAAATTCCAATATAAGTTCTAGTGACAAATAAAACATGTAATAATTGATTTATTAATATGCTTTTTTAACAAAATTCAATGGTTGAGTAAAGAATAATTTTAATGATATGAATGCGGAACAACCCAAATCCCCTACACATTTTTAATTTATTCATTCATCCGATAAATGATTATCGATAGAGCTCTCATTTCGCAGTACCATGGATTTTATATACATCACTTGAAATAAAAAACTAGACCAATTTACCTCAAATCCTCGTGTGATAATATCGCAAATAATTTATCGACGCAAATTATAAAATGCTAAATAATAACTTAAAATTATGATTCGTCATAATTAAAAGGTTTGTTTCTAATTGTTATACAATATTTGATTAGTTTGTATTCTTGTATGGTCTTAATTATTTCGCTTAAAAAATATTTACAAAGTTAATAAATATATAAAATTTGTAAATGAGCAAATATAATAATGTACGAGGAAAATTATTCATTGCTCCTCGATAAATAAATGTGTTATGTTGATTTTACTGTATATAAAATTGTCACTATGTTACCTGATCTATATATATAAAGTAAACTAAATTAAATCTAGAATATAATTATAGAGTCAAATGTACACGATTTCAAAAGTCGTAAAATTCAAGTAGAGAAAATGTAAAATAACTTACGCATATTTACTGCAATAATGTTACAATATTTCTACATTATGTAAATATGTCCAAATTAAAACTATAATACGTAGTTAATTAAATATGAATTGTTACTTTTATTAGATTTCATTGTAGAATGAAATCTCGTAAGATATTTAATAAAATTGTTAATGATATGTTTTCCATAAGAAAATTTTAATTTATTAAATATGAAGGTATTTAAAGCCTGCCTTAAGTATAGAAATAACGTATAAATTATTATTTTTTAATTTTTTGATATGTATTACCACAGACTAGATGACCTAGACAAGATACTTTCATCAAAAAATAAATATAGAGTTCCATTAAAAATATGTAGATATACCATAGGTTACTATAATTGACACAATAAATAGATAATAATGAATTGCAATGAGCAATGCCAAAAAATAATATAAATCAGGTCAATTTAGAATGCCAAAAATAAAGCTTTCTTGTAATTAAATTAGCTCAGTGAACGGGTTTATTCTGAAACATGAAAACAATATTAAATGAAAATTCTTTGAAGACCATAAAAAATAGACTACAACAGTTCCTGATATAGTGCATTCGTTTTATAAAAAAAAAAAAACACAGCCGCTGTATTATAATATAGTTATTAGTTTTCAGGTAAAAGTTATAAGTTTAGAAAGCAAAAACTACTAAACTGTTTCGTTAACAAGGTAATTGTAAATTTATAGTAATAGACAATAGTACTAAAAACAAGTTATATTGGGACAGCTAAATTAGTATCTCGTATGCCTACGCCCTACTCATCCAATTTAGAAGCAACGAAGCTGTTAGACCGTTGGCGACATACTTTCTAGACAAATTGTAATAGGTCTAAGTAGAAACAAGATTTAAAAAAGTTGGTTTATTTATGTCATTAATACCATATGAGCTGCAGCATAATTTCAAAAGTAAAAAGCCTTCTCAAATATTTAATTGAGCCTCCTTAAGATAATTGAATTTAACTTAACAACCTGTGTTAACAGAGATACTTTCATTAATCATATTGTTGTTTTTGGATGCAAACTAGAAAGTTTATTGATAGTAAAAATATTTACTCCCAAAAATGTAAAAATTATCATGTAATTAATGAGAAAACTATGTATAGTTATAAAAGTAGGTAGTCTTACGGCCGGTTTCTGAATTGAGAAAAGTGCAAAATCTCAACTGATTATTCTCAATAACTTAATTTTTTTACGTTATACATAGCAAAAAGTTCTAGTTTTAGCAAACTGCTATCAACTGATCATTGGAAATATTAGAATCAGAAACACAAACCTGTTTTAACGACATTTGAAATGTCTTAAGTTCGGTTTGAGACATGCTTAACTGTAAATTCTCAATTCAGAAACCGGGTGTTAGTCGTTAATAGAATTTTTGAGCAGTACGAGTAGGAATTTAACTGCCCACAAGCCAGAAAGTAGCATCTCATAAAAACTTATTACTTTCATTTCATCGGTTAGAATATTGTTTTACTATTAAATGTAATACAAAGAAGAAAATCTTGTTCTAAAGATACCGCTTTTTGTCTTATTGGGAAAGAATAGTAGTACTTACAAGAAAAATTTGATTTTTTAAGCATGACAATCAGTCATTCATTAAGTTTCTTGGTAAAACTTAAAGTGTATGGCTGTTCATCATATCTTATCAAAATATCTTATTCAATGTAAATTATAAATAATCAATAGCAAAAAAAAAGAAATGTCATCACAGATGTATCAAGATGCCATTGTAAGTACTAATAATATTGGGCCTTAGATAGATAAAGTAGGAAAATACAATTATTTGAAACGCTATTAGAATACCATTATTACGTTAACATTAGTATAATTTGAGTCCCATAGCAAATTACACTAAATACTAATTTGTCATAATTTACTTATACTCTGAGGGATCTTCTCTCGAGGTACTTAAAATTGACGAGAAAATCAAAAGGCGTTGCTTTTCTCTCCTTGTTACACACCTATACTGGTAAAATCTGTAAACTAACATTTTTATTTTTACAAAAAAATATTTAAGTTTTTTTTACATACGTCATTAAATAAACCATTCGATAGAAAACATCAAGCTGCATCTACTGGTAGAACCAATTCCGTTTTTGTAAAAAAGCATGGGTGCGATATTTCATACAGAAAAGTTGCATTGAAAATTGAAGAAACATATTTTGTTTGACACATTTAAATCATAAAATTATTCAGCGTATAAACTTGTACAAAAAATATCAAGATAATTTATTCTAACATAGAATAGGTATTACATCATGACCAAAAATTCTCTTAACGACTTTTCTGTAGATGTAATTATGGTTAAAAATAATAAATAACAATGTAATTTTGTGTTCATAGATACTTTTAAGGTAAAAACTGAATTATAAAAATGATGATTGTGAAAAAGGTTGAATGTAACTCAAAAAGAATAGTGTCCATCTGATATCTTAATACAAACTATAGTATGGCTCTACTAATGCGATCCTAATTATAAATAAAAAAATATAGCCTTGAGATGGACAGACGGACAGCAGGAAGAGGAAGCATCTTAAAAGGGCTTCGGCACCCTTTAAGGCAACAAAGTCTAAAAAAAAATTTTGAGACATTTGTGTTTCCAGAAATTTGAAAGGGATAAGCTCATATCCATATGAATGTAAATTTGTAAACGTCGCCCATACAGTTTTAGTAAAATTATTAAACCTAACTTAAACTAAATCTACTATAGTTTATTATGTTACGAAATATATCACATATTGTTCATGTTCAATGTTTGATCTATTTGAGTGAGCATTATGAAATAAATTTACCTATTAATAATTTTATTCTGGTTGTGTTTCGATTGTATTCTTGATGATTATATAAATTTAAGACACCGCTCAACTAAAATCAGATGGTGATTTATCATTATTAAATATTTTAATTTGTAATAATAAATATTATGTTCATTTCATGTAAGTTAATTTTAATTACTTAAGAAAATATTTTTAATATGAAATGAAGTAAGAACTTATAATAACTATTAATAATAATATCCTAACTTTTGAGCGTTCATACTTCATTCAAATTCTTGTTTATTTGTTAAAAATATTAGATTAAATTATGACATTTTCTCAAGTAATTCCTTCTCTCGACTATACGATTGTATAAGAATCTTTGATGTGAAAAGACTTTAAGAACACCATCGCACTGTGTGATTTTTACATGATTAATGTGTTGCCATGCGAAATAAAACATTGCCAAAAGGAATAAACTTTTTTTATTTAGATAAATCTTATACCCCTACTCATTTACCCATGTGTTGTTTTAAATTTTTATGGTCATGAGTAGTGTTACGAGATACCCCGTATTACACGGGACGTCCCTTCTATCAGATCAAATGTACCTCCAACTTAATAAAAACTAAATGAATGACCATATTAACTATGATTTTAATTCATTTTTTATTATGTCAAATCCAACAAAAAATATGTTAATACTTGCGTATTTCTATGAAAAAATACAAAAAGTAATTAATTTGGATTTTTATGAATACCATATAAAATTTGTAAACCCGTATCTTACAGGCTGTAAAAATCTGGTAACCCTAGTCATAAGGTACTTAGAGGGTAATAATCCGGTTTAACAATCATTCTGTTCATTTACTTTATTATTTCATACTTGCACAAGAACGCAATCAAGCATCTAAAAAGAGGACGAAAATATTCAAAAAATTTCTTTGATTTGTAATTGAGGTTTAACCTAAAAATCAGAGCGAGACTTCAATACAAGTTTCTAGAAATCGGTTTGTTTTCCTTTTCGATTTTGAATTATATGATACGAAATTAAAAAATATATATATAATGACATGAACAGCTTCATCAAAATCGGTTCCCAATTGATGAAAATCAACGACGCGCAGTGTATAAAAAATTGCATGATTAAATATATACGATATCAGAACATTTTGTCCTTTTATGATGTTATTCAGCTTAATTTTATCATAATCTCTACGTCCTGTTATCTGAATATTAATATTTGCCAAAGTAGTTGCAATTGGCTTAATATATTGTACTTGTATGCATTAATATATTAATTATTGAACAAAAATAGCATTATTAAATAAATAATATTAAATTCAAGGCTATTTAGCTTGACATAAAATTTATACTTAATACAAAATGCTTAAAAAAATCCACTTGGTCCCTGGCACCCTGAGATGGATGGATGGGCTCTAACCACTGAGCTACCCAGGACCTAACAGGACTGACGAATCTTTCAAGCACTTATTTCTTTGTTAGATCCTGGGTAGCTCAGTGGTTAGAGCAGTCGCCCAGATTGCGGAAAGTCGTGGGTTCGATTCCCATCTCAGGGTGCCAGGGACCAAGTGGATTTTTTAAGCATTTTGTATTAGGAATAAAATTTATAGATATTACAGCCACAAAGTACGGTTGTCACAGGCATATATATTCTGACGTCATCTGTTATGAAACAATTCATTTGATCGTGAAAGGTATGTTTACCCCAGAAATAGAAAATACTAGGGAAGAATTGGTTCGTTTGAGACAATGCTTATAATTTATACTTACCGTATGCATATCCTTTCCATGAAACTATTATGATTGAAATGAAATATCAGGACTAAGAAAAAGTCCTAATATTTAATGAATACAACTGTTTGAATGAAACAGCTATTTCAAGTAGTTATTTAAATCGGTAATATCGATAAACAATAAACAGTACCTTTTTGATGATTTAAAGTTATAATGGCTATAAATTACGTTGAATTTCTAAAAAGGAACAGCTTTGTTGTTTAATTTTCATGATATAGATAGTAGTGTCACCCTGTAATGAAAAAAAAACAGTTTTTTTACTTTAAAACTGTTACATATACCGATTAAGAGGACGCATTTACCGAAAATCAGTAACTACAACTGATTTTCTAGAAAGAAATAAAGTCGAAATAAGTTGTAATAATATAGTAAATATATCCCTTAGAGACATGTACGTAGGTTTCCGTACCGGTAACAAGAAAAAAAAATCACGTTTGTTGTATGAAAGCCCCCTTAAAAATTTGAAATATCTAACTTTCAAGGGGTGACAGATAGACAGCGAAGTTTTAATAATAAAGTTCCCATTTTACCCTTTGGGTACGGAACTCTAAAAAGATAAATCATATATTATAATTTTCGTTTTGTAACTATATCTTCTTTCCTATACTTTGACTACATTATATTCATTAAGTGGTGGAAAAACTGTCTTGGTGATTAAATTAGTACTGCACTGTCTATAAAAAAAACAAAACAAAGATAAAACACTCAAAAATCTTTAAGCCTTGATGTGTTATGTTTTAACAAATTATTAATTTTATCGACACAATGACGTCTATAGAAGTCATAATAATACATGCAAACAAAGTATATAATATACAATAACCTTAAATATGATTTGTTCAGTATGAAGTGTTAAAGTAACTTTATACACACAAAATTTAGACTCGTACAGTTACTCGTAAGAGAGTTATTCTACAATAAAATGTAATGCAAATGCAATAAAATGCAGTTTATTAGCAGAGGCAGAGCTTCAATATCAATAAAAAATCGTTTACAGAGAAAGTTCTTGTAATGTACAACCGATGACGAAAAAGAATTGGTTCATATTATGAGTGTTCTTCTCCAGGTGAATGGATCACCTAACCACATTAATGTCAACAAATCTTCTCCGTACCCTTAAAAAATATCACACATCGCCATCATTAACTAATCCCAATCATAATTTCACTAATGAAACCTATCTGTATCGAAAATTTTAATTTTTATATCCATTAGACTATGTATTATACTAATTTATGTTGTGTTGTAAATTTCCTAAAAACGACATTCGTATATTAAAATTAGATACTAAATGTCGTCGAAAAAAAATAGTTATTGTGAATTTATTGTAATGAAATAAAGCCTTGCTTCGTAAAATATAATTGAATCCACAAGCAGAATATCCCTACAGACGCAAGGTCGTAAACGATCTCAGAGCTTAGTGGCTGCTCTCGACTCGCACAATTAGCACTGATAACGAGATAACAGCGGGCTATCTCTCCTCATCACGATAACGTCACAACAGAGAAATCGCATAAGAAAATAACGGAAAACGTCAGTTTTATAATTATACAGTGTCTTAAAAATATTATCATAAAAAATCTAACTGTATATTATGTTCAAAGTAAAAATAAAAATTGTGTTCAGTGGCATATAAGTGTTGATCTAAATCTTACCAGATAATGTGTTTGAAAGTTATATTACACACTTTATTATAAAAATATATGGTCATTATGGATAAAGAAACTGCTCCGTTTCAAGAAAAGGAGTATGAGAAAATTAATTTACTTTACGACGAATGTCTTAGTTATTTGAATAAGTATAAAAATACGAATAATAATTTGATTCTGGATGAAGAAAAGTTTATTGCCAATAACGAGAATGAAATTGAAGAACCAGATTACGATACTATAAAAGACATAAATAAAGATGATAAAAAAGAAATTTATAAGAAGGAAGCTAAAGAAAAACAAAATGACCTCAAATCTAAATCGTGCAATGAACTTAATGGTGTAACTGATGGAAATAATTACTTCTTTAGCAGCCAAATAGAGTTCAAAGTTGAAAATGAGTTTGCATGTGAAAGTGCCACTTCTTTTGAGATGCGATCTCCTCGCTTGAGAAAGCTCTCAGCACAGCTTCCAAAAATAATTATAACTCAGAGTAATACCAGCTTGGAGCTAAAGCAAGGAAGTATGAAACTTGAAGATGTGGTTATGAGGCAGAAGGCAAAAGTACCTCATGCTAATAATGTTCATAAGTAAGTTCTGATATATCCAAATTACTATCTTTACTTACATTTTCATCAGAGTTTGTTAGTGTGAATTTATATTTCACTAATATTATGTTTCATAATTTTTGTATTGACAGTATTATATCAACTATCTTTAGATCAAAAAATAATCTTCATTTTCGTCTTAATAGAGAAGTAAAATTCATTGTTAAAAATGTCTTTCGGCTGTTGAATAGATTCCCCAAACATGGTATTACTAAGAAATGCGCTCACTTCCATATCAATATGCCTGATTAATTCAGACTATCGAATTAATCAAGCATATTTAATAGTCGATTACCTCAATTGATTAGAATAGTTTATATTCCGTCGCCGGCAGCTAAACTGACAATTTTTTTTTTATATTCTACTAAATATGATAAATGTAAAGGTTTGTGCGGTTATTGGGACTTCAGGTGAAAATAAATTGTTTTTATGGAATCCGGCCTTTTCATAATTTATTAGCTTATTAAACCATTAGCTTATTGAGACCACTGAGAAATGTCTCAATTTCGCAAAAACTTACAGAAGTGTAGTTCCTTTGTACAATAAATTAATCGTAATGAATTTTATCAAAATAACGCTTGATTTTATACGTAAACTTTAACAGCAAGAGGCCACCTCCCTTACGTCGTGGAGGATACGGCGAGTTCCCAAAAAGGTTGGTGTCCAAAACTGGAGTGGAAAACGTGGCAGTCATCTCTAACGTGCCGTTTAGGAAGATTCGTCTACTTAACGACACCTTTCATACATTGGTTAGTAAATTTTCTTTTTATCTACAACATGTAAATTTTTGATTTCCAAAAGACATTATTACATATTGTTAAGGATATTCAAGTTCATATCTTCAACAATTCTCTTGAAATTATTAGTGTTTATACGAAATGCAGGAATCGTATTCAAGATATCAGGACGTAAAGGTGGCCTTGTAATATTTTACAATATAAATCCTGAAATTAATATTGTAAAATATTGATTTCCTTTACCAGTAGATTCCTATATATATTTTGTGCACACGGAAGTAAGCCAGACTACCACAATATCTCAAATTTCCTCAACTGATTTAGAACTCTACTTACAATGATTAAGGTTACAATGAAGTGGAGAATTTGAAAGTCTTGACGTGCTGTTGACGAACTTCTTTAATTATCTGTAAGAAATACTTCTTACAGACAATTAATTAAAATTAATTAATTAAAAAAGTATTTTTTATTAGAAGAATTCATAAGATGTTAGAGGCTGGAAAAAGTCTCTGCTCATAAAATTTGATCCATAGTACTATCGAAATTCTGTAAGCTAATGATATATAAATTCACCTTTCTTCTCAGATCAATCTCCGCTGGCGTTGGATAGTCCTTGGTACCGTAGTATTACATTTCACTATTTGGTTAATGTTCGCTGTATTCTGGTACATTACTGCGCTCGCCCACTATGACCTAGAACCCAATCCACCAAACAAGACCTGCGTTACGGGAGGGAAGGATTTCGTCACCATATTCCTGGCATCGGTGGAAGCTCAAGTAAGGATCATCTATTAACGTTTTAATACAACTCGTAAGAATGACAAAACTGATGTTTATTTTAAAAATGAGATTATGTAAAGGCTCATATTTCACGAACAGATCATGATTTATTGAAGGATCGTGTATGTATGCTATAGAGTGTTTGGAAAAAGTTATGAATACTGAAGTAGCTAAACTCTTGTGTGAAGACCGTGTCACATATGGCCTTATCTACCTATTACCTTGGTATTTAATTTTTATAAAATAACTGTCGATATCCAACTTAACTTCTGAAATAATATTTCGAAGTAGGCTTATAAGAGCGACAGGAAAATTGTTTTTCTATGTTTCGATATGTGTTTGAAGTTACATTTGATTATCAAACCATGACACCTTTTGATAAAATAAATACATTCATCCAATATTATTCCATACATCACTCTAATTCCAAGATCAGTAACAAAAGTCCTCGTATTATCGAGTAATTGAGACAACGTAGGTACCACAAAACCTTAACTAGAGAAAATGTAGAGAAGTTCATTTTCTATATTGACCTGAATGAAAATCGAACTCAGTGCCTCAAAAATGGCGATTAGCGACACATTGTAACCCGCTTACGAGCCACCCTGTTACGGCCGAATCATTTGAATCAACTAGTTAAATTAATCTTGAACAATTAATGTGAATCGGTCCCATTCTTAATAAATATAATTTATTAAAGTTTATACTTTTAATTATAAAATTTTCAATAAAACATATCAAGATAATTGCACATTTTTATAATTAATGCCTAATATTAGTATCAGTAAATTATGATTATGACATTACGAGGAGTACTCATTGTATGACTAATGGCTGGACCATTCTTACAACCCTATTAGTGTCACGACTGTATTTTTATGATCGTTTACTGCCCACAGAATATTTTTAATGGTATAATACAGAGACTGTTGACGATTTCGACTGAATTTCTTTCTCTATATTAGAACCATATTCAAGAACTTTTAACCGCTAGTCCATTGTTGGACAATAGAGATTGCTGTTAAACTCAATGAAGGTTTCTCATTAAACGTAAAACTATCCGTTCTAAATGATATTGCAAATGTACTATCAAATAGACTAGTCTAAAAACTTCTAGATGTTTTCGTAAATATAGGTATAAATGATCGTTACATTTTCAAAACAGTATGCACTTCGCATGAATATGTTAAACTCGAAAACTATCGAATGAATTTTAATAGAAATGAGTATTGGAGAACGATTTGGTGTTTTGACGATTTGGCGTGTATGTAACAGCGTACTGAGAAAGGAAACGGAAAAATCTGACAGTGTTTTTTTTTTTGTAAACACTTAATTTTGAATTTTATCTTTTAGAATATAGTCAATTTTTTTCGTTAATTTAGGTTGGTTTAGAAGTTTTCATCTATTCCCCGTGACTTACAGTCCAATCGATGATACATTAGGTTTTTGTTAATTTGCTGAAATATGAAGATGATTGATGAAATTTCGACGTGGGAGTCTTTAACGTGTAAATTGTAGAACCCTTCGATATCAAACAAAGATAACAACTAAAATAATAAAATATTATCTATATATATAAAAATGAATCGCAAAATGTGTTGGTAAGCGCATAACTCAACAACGCCTCGACCAATTTGGCCAAATCTTTTTTTAAAATGTTCGTTGAAGTTCAAGGATGGTTTTTACGGCGAGAAAAATTAGAATTATTGCTGGAAAAACCCTAAAAATAGCCCTTTTCTTTTTCCCATACAAATGATTTGTAACTAAAACGTAGTCAATTTGAGCTTTATTGCTATGGTATAAAGTTCATATTAAATTACAAGCACTCACTGTTGTCTAAGCAATGTAGGTGTGTTCCTAACGTCAAAGATCATATCTATCACAAAACAATGTGCGTGTGTGCGTTGGAGCACAGAATACATAGTTGGAGGAGTTTAATGTCGCGTTCCGAAACTCGCGTTTCTTTTGTATTAGTTTCGGCACGCGAGATAAAATGCATCAGTTTCCACGTCATTACATGTATTGCCGGAACATTGATGAAAATACGCTCTGTAGTAGCAAATCTGTTGGGTCCTAGATAGCTCATTGGTTAGAGCAGTCCCTGGATCGCGAATGGGTTCGAGTCCCATTCCGGGGTACAGGTAGATGGATTCTTCCAGCATTTTTCCTTGAGAATGTTTATATATTTTTTTAATTCGAATAGTTTACTTTTATAATGCTGTTGTGTGTAATGTGTTTTTATGATCATAAAAATCTCTTTTTTCTATATTTAATACTATTACTATTAATTCATTGCAATAATAATTATGATTCACATGATTAACAATAAAGCGATTACTTACTTTTAAATCCTTATATATGTTTTATTTAATTATTTTTTATTCACAACGCCCTATCACCAGGGTGACGGTTCTGTTCAGGAGAATTTTTTTAAATACGTAGGCAAAAAAACTGCCACATTACAAATCTTTTTGACAGGACGAAGTCTGTCGGGTCAGCTAGTTTAATAATAAAATTAATTATTATATTTAAAAGGTTCAGCGCTTGTAACTTGTTTCAGAAGCAAAGCGAATGTGATTTCCCAACGAAGCAAAATGTTTGTTATTATCCAGTTTAGCGCATAAGCAGTGACAGACACTGTACGTGTCACTGATGGGCCATCTGACGCACAGATTGTCTTGGCCTGATAACCAGACATTGTGTCTATTTATATACTCACCATGTTAGGCCGTTAAAACTATATTATCATGAAATAAAGATAATTCAAGTGAGTTAATATCAAGTCGTTTATTTAAATTATTAAACAATAATATAAATTTCTTTTAGTAGAAATACAAGAAAATACGTATAACTATACATTTCAAAAAAGTCTTCACAAGTATAGCATCTTCAAACTTATCATAATCAATTCTGTTATCATCTAATCATTAACGATAGACATTATGGTAAAGTTATAAGAAAATAGAAAAATATAAATAATGCAGAGTTTTAAAAACTAATAACTAAACTACATTTAACTTATTATGCATCGTTATCAGGTACCAAAGTACATTAGGCGCTACGTAGAATTATGACCATGGACTGCGGTGTAGACGTTAATAGCGATTATTAAGTAGCAATTCACTAATTCTGGAATCTCAAATTCTGTCGAGATTTTATGACCAGGGGCTGAGTTTCGAATTTAATAGCGATCGCAAAATTCCAGCTCCTGTAATCTCGACAGAGTTTACGATCGCAATCTTACCAAAATCGATTGCTAACTCATAGCAATCGTAATTTAAGGATTATTGCAAGTGTCAACATTTAAGTATATCATTGTTTGTTATATACAGCTTAGTCAGTCAACTTTGTGATAGCCAATTAATTATCGCTATTGTTGTCGAGTTTGCCGGCATTGTTCCTCCTATGTTGTTCCACTAATGCCCATGTTTTTACCCCAACAGTTGGAAAATTAGTGGGTGTTAATAAATAGAGCAATATAAATTATTATTGTTTATTTTGTATTCTACTAAGATAAGTCTACCTAAAGAAAAACGAGATGTCGTTGTAATGCCCTAATTATATTAATTTGGAACAGTTTAAAATCCAGTTGTATTACAATTCCACCAATGCGTATTTCGGTCGGTCCGTTAATTCTACGAAAGAGGAAGTTAGCTCAATCGACCTTGATTGGGTAAATTAGATTCTTGTGAGGAATCACCGGTACTTCCTATTTCGATAGAGCATTAGTGAATCGAAATTGGTTAAAAATCTCATATTGTTGTTCAGCAAAAATACAACAGCAAAAGTAAAAAACAGCTATATACATATATATATATATAAAGTTATTTAGATAAATGTTACGTAATCACTAGCCTACTAATATCCTGCTGCTGGAGCACAAGCCTATCCCATGAATGGAATCGAACCGAAAAGGGAGAATGGGTCTTAACACAGGTTTATTCTTCTCGTATGATCTAGAAAACCTACTTTAAAAATATATATATTACTAAATGATTTTTTGCAAACCAACAGAGCGACCTCTTTACTCTCTAGCCTTGATTCTAGCCATAGCATACGACATCTTACCGATGTTATGACGATATTTCGTTTCATTGCTACTACTTTGACATGTCTTTTGGTGGATAAATAAATTGGGATAAATTTATAACTTGGTAATAATTTATCATTCTTTATCTTACAGTAGTAAAATGGAATGAAATATTGGCATAACAAGGATAAGAAGATAAAAAGGATAATGATAAGAAGGAGAGTTAGGCGGTCGCATCTCAGCACATTTGAATAAAAATATATCCTTGCTAGTATATTTGTCGAATTCAAAAATTATTTCACCTTCGGGAAGCTACGTCATAAAAGGACATCTATAATTTACGCGGGGGTGATTTAAAGTGAAATAGAAGAAAAATGAAATAACTTATTTTTTCAGAATGAAGTCTCAAAATTCAAATATATTTTCAATTATTAGACATTCCAAAAAATATATATTTTGTAGAACTTTCACAACTACATTGCTAGCGACCAAAATTCCAAATTGAACAATAAAAAATGTTTGAATGGTATTAAAAAATCTAAGAATTAATTTTTTTCAGACTACGATTGGTTTTGGAGATCGCGCCATTGATGAAGAATGTCCAGAATCAATTTTTCTTTTCATAACACAAGTAAGTATACATTCCACTCAATAGATGTAGGTACTAGACCACTATATTTCCAATACAAGTTAGCTCCGAATGGATCAGTGGATCAGTGGATCAACGCGTTCTGTGGCGCCTACTGACATGAATGACCGAAAGAGTGAATTGAGCAGAACTGATCAGAAATTAAATTAAGCAGAAATGTTCGGAAAGATACGGGCGACATCGTTTCGCGTGTCGGTAACAAATGAGCGCACATGTCGATCAGCCAGCGGTCATATTTGTTTATTTAAATCACTACTTTTGATTGTTTTGGAATTATAGATTATGGTCTAACTTTAGAATGCAAAAACCAATTTAATTGTCATGTTTTAAAATCGTATATGGTACTTTTTTCGTGGATTAAATTGCATTAATATGAACAAATAAATATAAAATAACGAAAATAATAAAACTAGTTGTTTTTTTAGTGCAAATTGTCAAAAGCTAATTAACAAAATTTAGTAATTTTAAACTCGTAACATGATTAAGTATTTGCTCTCTGCACTTGTATTTATCTGAGATTCGATAATCCAAATGATCTAAATGAAGCATTAATTAATTGGAATCTTTGAACCGATTCAAATGTAAATGATAAAATCTTTAAAAATATACATTTTTCGCAGTTTTAAATCGGATTACATTTAGCATATTACTACCGTGACATTACAAGAAATGTTCTAACTCCTAGTCATATTAAAGAGCATAATGGATGTGTGAAACTTATTGCCACTTTTAAGGCACAGGCACATGTCGATTGAAGTGTATTTGAAAAATATAATGAAGTTTGTTATTAGTTAATAAATTATATAGGACTATAGTATTTTACAACTGTCAATATATCCACTAAAATATAAAACCTACCGTTAATAAACAGAATAACAATTCAAAATTTTTGTAGCTCATATTAGGGACAGGATTGTCAGGCGTATTGACATGCGTGGTATACGCCAAGCTGACGAGGCCAGAAAAACTATCGAGGGATGGAGTCGGATTCAGTAAGAAAGCTGTGGTGAGTATACAGCTAAGACGCTATAATATATAAATACGAAGGAGAAAACTTAATCAGAAACAAACGTAGTCTTTTAAAGTCATACATAGTCATACATATATTTTTATAAAATAGGTAATAAACAAAATAAACAGTAAAAGTTATAAAAATCCGTTTGTGCTGTATATTGTTATAAAATAGAAAAAAAAAACAGAGCTAAAAACGCCCTCGAACTCAATATCGAGCATAGCGCTGTCACAGCAGGTTTAATAAATTTTAAACGATATATAGAGATTTTTTAAATACACAATGACACTGCGGTGCGAAAGCTTCCCCAAATTCCAATCCCCTAATGCGTAATATCACGCAAATCTTGTTTTCAACTTCTAAAGTTTGTATTTTCAGGCAGTTGCAATTTTTTTTTATCACGTCGTTGTAGTTTTTGTTATATTGAAATTTCAGATCAGTGTGCGCGACGGGCGCTTGTGTTTGATGATACGCGCTTGGGACCTCAACTACGACCACATCATCAGTTCAGAGTTCACCGCACATTTCGTGCATACACACAGGTATACAAAGTTAAATTTAAGGGGCATTACTGAATACTAGTTTCCCGCCAGTGGCTTTGCCCGATTAGTGTCCCCGTTTTTGAGACATTTTTCATTGCTGCTCCACTCCTATTAGTGAATAATATTCAATATTTGGATAATAATGTGTATAAATGGAGTATTCAACACAAAAAAAAATCAGTAGCTTCTGAGATTAGTGTGTTCAAACAAATAAACAAAATCTACAGCTTTATAAAATTAATTAATAGTAGGTATAGATAATTGATGAATATACTTAAAATTGATACTAGGTTACAAAACATAACATTAATCTTAAAATAACACACAACCGAAGAAATGTTTAATGATAGCCAAAAGACGTAAGTATTGACCAACTCGATAAAGTTTTACAGACCAAATAGATGCAAGTACCTACAGAAAACGAAGGAGTGGGAGCTAACTAGAAGAAACTTTTTTTCCATCTCCATATAAGCATAAAGACACTGTAGATATATATAATCTACTGTAATAAAGGTTAGATCAAAGTTATAACCTGTAACTATCAGTAAAATTCTACTATAATAATTTTATTTGTTTATTTACATATAGGCTTATGCCCAGCAGTGGGCATCTCTCGGCTGAATTGATGATGATTTACATATATTTATCATCAGTCTCAGTTTAAAGAGTATATAGGATTGGCAACATAGTGAGGAACAATATTAAAACTAATTCTGTATCACCTCAGGACAAAGGAAGGCGAAGTGATCCGCTATTATGCCCGCAGTATTAAACTACAGCAACGTCAATTTCTTCTTTGGCCAGTGACATTGGTTCACGTTATAGATGAGGATAGCCCTTTATACAACTTCTCACCAGAACACATCTCTAAAGAGAGGTAAATTTCTAGTTCATTTAAACTATTACCGTAGCCGAGTGGTTCGCACGCCGCTTAAGACAAGTTTAAGGTCCTGGATTCTATTCTCGGTCGGGTCAATGTAGAAAATGAACTTTTCTATATCGTCTCTTGTCTGAATGTTGTGGAACCTTCTTATCGGTGATGTTGTCCAATATTTATTTATTATTATTATCTATTACTAACTATTTTTCATCCTATGTCACCCGCGTATGTTGTAGTGTAGTGTATCCGCGTATCGGATCAGTGTTTCCGAAAATTACCCTCTACAAACAAACAAATATTATGAATTAGCTGATCCAGCGAACTTCTTACCGCCATATACCCGTTTTTATAAATTATATCTTTTTATACATTTTCTTATACACAAACCTTGTCCTGACAATGAGGAGCACATAAAAAAAGAATCATTCAATTATGCAGTCGTTTGGAAGTTATGCATTTTGGCGATTCATTTTTTATATTATAGATTAAAAGCAATATCTGCTCCAAAATAACTATGTTAAGGCAGTTCAAAATTTAAAATTAAATGAAATTAAAAATAATGTTAATCTGTAATAATATATAACACCACTTATTCATTTATTCACGTGATTATTTAAAAGTATTGTTTTTTTATAAACTATTTACCCTTATTTATTTAATTCACAGTTACGAAATCACCGTAAGCCTGAAAGGTGCTTCAGCATCCATGGGAACCTTCACGCAAAGCCAAACCTCCTACCTCCCCAGGGAAATTATCTGGGGCCATCGTTTCCCCCCAGTTGTAAAGTAAGCAGCAGAAATTTAAAACGAAGAATACCATTCCAAGTTGCTCGATAATTTTTAAAACTACATATTACTAGAACGAATAAACATAAAATATAAAGGCCTATTCTGTTTCTTTGTAAATGAAATTTCGTTTATTTTTGAAATGCATTACAACTTCAAAGAAACGCATTTTTTTATCAGTTATGATGCACTAGAAGTAGGACCTGACACTGCCTCTAATGCACATGTTAATTCGTACGACTTATACATATAAATGTTAATACCACAAATATTATATGTCTCAAACCACAGAACTTTGATTATTATGAAAGGCCTTAAATAAATAACGTCACGGTGACTGATATCACTGAACTAATAGACTGTCTATCAAAGAAGCTTTTATTTACATAGCTCTTATGTATGTATTAGTATTTACTGTCTAGTTTAATATCGTCAACCTGTTGAAAGACTTATTTGGAGCAGATAAAAGTGTCTTTTGAGAAATTCCACTCACAACTCAACTTTTATTTAATGGAAGTTCTCTGTTGTATTGCTATAAGAGTTAGATTCTCAAAGACGTTTTTTGGTGCGAAATTTCAGGTATGACCAACGCAAACAGAAATACGTCATAAACCACAAGAAATTGGATACTACAGAGCCTGTTCTAACTCCAAACTGCAGTGCAAATCAATTTTACAGGTAACTGTTTTGCCAAACTCCCTTGCGTACTCACTAGTGACTTCCCTATATTTTATATTGTATTTGTTATGATAAATCATATTCACCTTCCTTATTCTTATTTTTATAACCTACTAACACCGGAGAACATCGATTTATAAACACTAGCCACTTATTCTACACACTTACTGTACCTGGAGATTAATAACCGTTTTTTGTCTAATTACCTACAGTTCGTTCACTACTATTATATAAACTAAACATGAAAATGTAAAAAAATAACTAATGTGAAATAGAAAAAAAACAATATTATTTAAAAGTGAAATAGAAAAAAAAAACTTTTTGAATATCTTTTATAACGACTCTAAAACAGGTTTTCCTCGCATTTTCGAACACAGAGAAAGAATCTTCTAACCTCCAAACGATCTTACACAAAATTCCACCTTAATGACACACCATTGAAACGTGAAAAAAGTAATTACAAACAAACACTCTTTATTTACTCATATTGTGAGTTTCATAATTTATATAAACTTTAAAATCTCTTTCGCTGCAGAAATAGTAGTTTTTCTTATCTGTTTGTTTACTCGTTTTTTAATCTACAGATGCCTTTTTTCTATTTGCTTGAATTTTATTTATAGCTCACCTTATATTAAAACATTTTGCTTTCAGCAACAAAGAAGAGAAATCAGAGACACAGTCCTGTCAACATCAATGTCCTGGAACTCCAAGCAGCTTTTGCGACAAAATATCGGCATTCCATCTCGAAAAATCCTCGTCGTTCAAGAGAAAAACCTTTAAATCATAGTTCAAATAGAAATTTGTTATATTATAGCCCAGAACTCGTTGAATGCCATAGCAGCGACACTAACAGCACTTCCTGCTTGGCTATCCTTGGTGTCAATGGTGAACATCCACTGCTCCGCACAGGCTACGCACGATCAATACACGCACTCACAACCGTAAGAATAGCAACGTCTTCTAACTAACTATTAAACACTTCATTGAAACCGTGATTTAATCAGTATGACGTCACGTGTAGGTCGATGCATGGCTGCGGGCGGCTGGAGTTGTTAACCTTATTCTGTACATTCATATATGAATTTCATATGAAGCTATTGGAAATTCGTTGCATGTCATTACAGTCGGTGCCTATCACTGGATGTTCGCCTTAAGTCACCAAACCAAAGATTAGTACGCCAATTGGCATGGAAGCGCCACTAATGATCGTTCACCAATCACATTAAAAGAGTCTCAAATAAGTCAAAATGTATTACAAAACTTATGTTGCAATTGATGACCTAGGGCGCTCCGTCTGCAATACGGTTGTTAAGGAACCTTGGCAATGGCCGGTCACAAGATGGGTGACCAAAAATTAATTATATCGATCTCCTCAATACTTCGTCGGGAGGCACGTTAAGCCGTTGGTCCCGGCTGCATCTGCAGTCATTAATACGGACCAATCCGTACTGGGCCTGTGTGGGGGGTCATGGCTCAATCTCCCTGTTCGATTCTATCCATAGGGAAGGCCTGAGTTCCAGCAGTAGGAACATTAATAGACTGGTGATGATGAATAATTACTATGGCTTACTATATCGCTATGGTCAAGTAAGTTGTATATATATTTTTAAAATAACGTTATGGTAAATGATACTTATCATAAAGAAAAATTGTTTAAAGTTAAAATAAAAATATAGCCATTGTAAATATTTTACTAATATTGTGCGCAACATTACATCGAAGATACAATTATTAGGAAATGTATGTCACTCCTAAAGTCATTCGGAAATGTGGGAAATAATTTATACACATATGTGCCTAGTAAATCTATAAATTTCCTAAATAGCAATCGGCTTTTAAGAATTGAAACATATTGATTTATTCTTTCCCTTTGTTCATAGTAGAATCTATATACACATACGAATCCAAGTTTGTCCATAGACACGAGAAAGGGAAACTTTATACATAGTGTTATTGTTATACAGATATTATTATTCATCTTAACCATGCTCTCTTACGACGGAAGAAACAAATATGCTTACTGAAATCTCTGACAGCTAAATTGGAAGGGCTGTCACCGATTTAGAGATTTAATATGGATTTTAAATATCTGTCGCATCGCCTGAGACATGTGAAATTCTTAAACAATTTTATAAGAATCAAGTACAATTTATTAATTTCCAATACATATTAAACGAAAAAAAACCGGGTTCTTCGTATTCGAAACTAGTAAAGTACCTCCTTGGTTCAAATCACAAATATCGAGTACTTTTATCAAATCATAATACAAGCTAAGTTACTTTATGTACAGTGCAGCACGTCAAGCTATACAAATCTGTCAAATTACTTAATTTGAATTTAAGCTTATTTACCCTGGCAGTGGAGTTCAAAATTACTTGCGGAATTTTGACATATTTTGCTGATATACGATATGATAATAGGCTCGCTTTTAAATAGTCAGTGCGTATGCATGTCGCTTTTCTTCATTCATCGCACTGAATATAAGTTGATTGTAAAATAAAAGCCAGTTAGTTGATTTTGAAAGCTTTAACTAATAAGATAATATGAAAATCTTATATTTTACGCTATGATTGTCTCAACGAGTTACCTAAATAAAGAACATTATTCTCATATTAACAACGTGTTTTATAAAAAACATTATTTATACATTATCTAATAGGATATTGGAATTATAAACAATTCTTAAAAAATGTATTCATTTCCCAGAATATAGTATGTGTCAAATAATGTTATAACAAAACAAAACAAAATTTTAGGAATTGTATAATTTTCCTAGGAATTATATACAGTTGCCGGATTTCACACATTTCCAATAACATATATAAGTATAATTAACATTTACTTAATCTTTTCTCCATTACATTTATAATAACCATCTTTAAGTAGCAGAGTATAGAATTAAGTTAATGAAAATATTAAATTAATAAATAAAAAATAAAAATATTCATACATTAATTCAAAACTATGTATCTATCTGTATAATAAAATGCTTCAGACAATATCAATATTGTTTTTATTTACTCGCAAATGGTTTCTCTAAATTCTATGTTTTTTCTTTAGAGACCTTTTCGTGCATGATAGTATCGAAACGTTAGCATCACCGTGTCATCACAATGGCATTGACTTGATGCATTAAAGTTATCTAGGATCAATAAGATGATCAATTTCTCACAAACTTAACAGTATGTTTTTTAGATGAGGTTTTGTATCAACCCTCGTCTAAACTGTGGATTACAATTTCCTGAAGTACAAATCAGGATGTACAGATAGCCTGCAGTGTGACTGTGGCATTAAAGATCAAATTACGGACCACATCGTGAAGGGATATATTTAATATTGTTATGTGTGTTATACAGTTTCGATGGTAAATTTTTCTTTCTTTCTTTCATACGATTAATAAGTAGGCACTAACGACCACCGATGCAATAGGGACCAACGGATTTACGTGCCTTCTGAAGCATAAACGAGCTAGATATAGTTAATTTTTGGTATTCTATGATCGACCTTTTTGAAAGTTGCTCAACCTTCACAGCGCAGACCGAACACCCCAGCAGCGCTGACACCATGGAGCTACTCAAAATTCAAGCTTTGCCGCTAAATAAATAAATTAGATTAAAAGCAAGTTAACTTTAAGCAAAACAAAAACCACAATCAATCCTATATCATTATAATTATATGTAATCGGGTCTTGTTCGTGCATTTTTTAAAACTATTAATTTACCTCGACGTTTCGGTTACGTTACAGCAGCTGCTGCAGCTCAGTTTAAAAATCCTATATCATTACAATTATTCAATAACACACATTGTGAAAACACATATTTGTCTACATTTAAGTCATTGTACCAAGTTTCTAGGACACAATTGATCATAACAGACGTGTGTAAATATATTTCTTATCTTATGGATAAGTTGTGCTATCTCACTGTAGATAACTCTAGTTATTGTGTTCTCACGGAGCAAACCTCACGGTGAACTTATCGAAAATATTTTAAAACTTGTAAATATTAGAATTAAATATAACATATTTTAAGTAAAAAGTGTATAAACCCTCGGAATTATTGCTGTATCAGAATTTGAGTGGCAGCTGCAACATATTGCAGTTTCAGATGTAAAATTTAAGCGTCTCAACTAAGACTTATTAGATAACTTTCCAATGGATTTTGACCCGCCCCAATCCCGTAGAGGCAGCAGGTCACGAGCTCTAGAAAGATCTTTAAGCTATTCTGAAGCTATCGGAAATGGTTCTGGCAGGTCATCAATAGAAATCCCCCGAATCGATAACACAGATGTATATTATAACGAAGAACTGAAAAAGCACTATCGAATATCACAAACCTACGTTGAAGGCAAAGAAATTGTGTTCCCATCAATTATAACTAATATTGACACTAAAGAAACTATACCTTCTAGTGGTGAAGGACTGCTTACTGATGCATCACAGTATTCTAGTGAAGATGAACAAACAGACGGAGGGATCGTTATGACGATAGATGTTGAGCACGACAGTCCAAGGACTTCTGAATCAACAACAAGACATCATTTGTCTGATGTATCAACACAGCCTATGGCCAGCCTTCAGACTGACAGTGAACTTTATGATAGGATTGAGTACGCAGACGATATTTATAGTGATATAGGAACCTCCCATACTTTAGGACCTTCAGCTTCACAAAGATATTCTGCGCCATACACAAGAAGAAGTAAAAATAGCAAAAAGCAACGGTGAGGCATATATGTTATCCACACAAATATATCTTTCTTGCGATCAGTTGCACAAACATCCATTAATGACTCCTTTCAGCTCTAAAGAATATCAAATTTGTATCGGTAATGTCGCTTTAAACTAATGTCAATTTTAATGGATGTTTGTGCATCTGGGTGTTTGTATTACATACAAAAGATTATTTTTAATTCAGTATGTAAAACGCCTACATTACGAAATTCTGAATCAGCGAAACTTCATACATTGCCGCCATCGGGAATCGAACCCGATACCTCAGAGTTAGCGACATCTGAAAATTAGCGCGTGATCTACTTATAACAATATAAATTATAAGTAAATTCAATCTCATCTCTTCAAATTACTCATTATTAAGTACTTATTCATATTACAATTGTGAATAATTGATTAATCAGTACCTAATATGAAATGTCATGTACCTTTGCTATTATTTTATTTTAACATAACATAATGTAAAAAATACAGTAAAGCTACGATAATTTTATATCAAGTAAAACCTGTCAATTTTTCGACAAAACAAAAAAATTTCTGAAGTCGTATTGCTTTCAAGTTTATTTAAATTCTTATTGTATAATATTAATCATAATAAGTACATGTTGATAGCATTTCTTTTACAGAAACAAGGCTAAATTAAGAATCAGTCCTGTCAAATGGTGTTTTAATCTGTGAATATAATTAAGATAACGAAAGAAATGACTGTAGAATAACATTTAAACAAACCCAAATTCAGATAGATTTTATTTAGTTTTTAAAGGGTGCATACAACAATTGGCACCATTAACAATGAAAATGAAAATATAAACAGGAAAAAATATAAAATACCTAGTAGGTGTGTAGTGAGTAAGGTGATAACAATAATTTTAAAACGAATTTCGATAACCAATGATAAAGAACGTAACGAAATGTATACACGTAGGTATAGTATGTAGATAGACTAAAGATTTTTAAGTTAAGGTTAATCGAAATTGACATCTAATAATTTGTAATAACAAACGATGCTACGAATTATACATTAAGTAACTCATACCTTTCTTTACAATGTGGTTATAGTGATCATTAAGCCGTAATAAAGAATCACAAATGAGACTACGGTTCATTAGGTTTCTTTCAGTGAGCTCGTGAGGTACCCAAATATTCAACTTTTTGTGTACCCAGCTTTTTTTCAAATGCGCGAAATCTGTTTTGTGGTCAAACCCCAGTTCGTCAACTACGTCATAACTACTAAGATGCCGATCTTGTTCCACTTTTTCAAAAATGGCATCCATTTTATCTGTAACAGGGCAACCGGAACGACGTGCATCTTTGACATCAAATTTTCAGGACTGAAAACGCTTAAACCACACTTGCGCTACTCTCACAGAAACTGCACTGGGTCCATAAACCTCACAAATTTTTTTTCGCGGCTTACAATGTATTTTTACCTTTTTGTAATAAAATTTCAAAATGTATCGAATTTCTTCATTAGATTCTCTCATTTTGACAGTAAGAAAAACAAATGACAATCACACATTATTCTAATTTGAATTCGGAGTTATCTTCATTAAAATTTAAACTTTTTAATGATACCGAAACCATTCAGATACAAATGGTATAGCCAAAAATATTATTGCGAAGATGGCTGATTGAAAAAGCTTTTTACTCGATTGGTGAATTCCTTAACGAAGTATAGTTTATCAGTAATTAATTTATAAGCATGATAGTCGATACAAAGTTTTATAAATAATTTTACATAATTGCATCTGACAAACTCATGTTTATTAAACTAAATGCCTTGACATGTTCAATAAGTTTAATATTTCCATTTGACATCTTATACATTTTCTAATTATTTTTTTTTTTTGTACAATTTGATAAAATTGACATGATTAATAACTAAATTGACAATGTTTTGACACAAATGTAATATTTTGATTAAATGCTAATATTGTTAAATTTGACGCAATTTTACGTAATTATGAAATATTTTAAGTTACATCAATTTTATTATTATTATTAGGTATTATTATTTTTTTGCATGCTGTTCAAGATGGCTAAATAGGTCAAAGCTCTTAAACTTAAATATCATCACTGTATATATTGCAAATAAAGACATTATTATTATAACAAGTTTATGCATACTGTATGTGAAAAGACTTTTTCTCCAACCTAATATTTAATACAAATGTAATCTAAACATACCTACGTTTCCTTAAATAACATCTCAGTAATATTTAGTGTGCATAATAAAATTAATGACCTACGTATTGAGTAGTCTCTCTCATAATATGTTAGTTTACTTAATTTACAATTTTATTTTAATTATGATCTACGCATTATATTATCTTTATTTACCTTAAAGAAATATTAGCGTCATTTAATGATGTGGATTGAATATACCCAATAAGCTAGGATGTCTAAATAAACCTAATAACGTTCCGCTATGGATAATAAATTATTACTTTGGGAGCTTTTTATACGGACTTTATAAAATGATTTTATTTAAAAATGCTATCATTAATTTCGATACCCCATATATATATTATTTCCCGCGACTTCACCCATGTAAATTACAGCTTATTCTCCCTGGTATAATTTAGCTTCCCGTAGGTGAAAGAATTTTCATACTCCAATCCGATTTCATAAGCATTTCCAAAGATTTAGAAACTTTACCTCATTATAATATTTGCAAATATACACTTAAGATAGAGAATGCATAATATAAAACCAAGTATTGCATAAATCTATAATATACGAAACACTTTTAGATTTCAACGCGGAAGACCGACTCGTTCAAGACGAGTGGTATTCAAAAACGGAGATGAGAATGTCCCCGTACGAAGAAACATACCGTCAAAATCAATTAAATATATGAGGGACATCGTGAACACTGTTGTGAGTAGACTTATATAAAATAACATCCGATAGCCTGTATGTAAAATATTCAACACAGAGTAATTCATGAAGATAACTTTGATATAGGTATATTTTTGGGTTGTTCCGTATTCATCCTATGACGTCTCATCTCATTTCTTGACTTGTTCTAAACTAGTACTCCTAACTCAACCTGTAAATATTTTTCCTCATACATCCTCAATATGTTCTTCACTCATACTGAAGTAAATATTACTAAAAAAACGTTTGAATAGCAGACAGAGCTTAATATTTTTTCGGAAAATTATCATGTTATACTATAGAAATACTTATCTTATATTATAAACGGAATATGCATCATTATATTTGATCAATTTTGCATTTACACGCCCGTTTCATTACAGTTAACATTCCTCTCCATTCAAAGGTTGTCTGGAAGAAATAACATGCAGCGATAAGAACGCCATTTGTTGCACTTTGATATAGTGTTTAGTTTGATAAGTTTATGAAGATATCTGTTGTGATGACAATGAATTGTTACTGTTGTTGTTAAATGTTATTATTTGCCGATCTATTTTCTTTTCAGAAATAAACTGACGTCGATTTTCATCTAGGGTCTAGCCTATTTAGTCTACCACTAGGCCCAGAGTGCTTTAATATGATTTCTAATTGTTATTAATCTAAATAAATACTACCAATGAAAAATGTATTTGTCACATTCCAAGTATCTCCCTAAAGATTTGTTTTTGACTAAATAACTCAGTTTGTAAAACGGTAATGAAAGAAGATTTATTAATTTGAACAAGAATTAACTTAGATAAAAATGGTGATATTTTTGTTCTGACCGTACAAATAAATCTTACGTTTTAGGTGATTTTAAAAAAGGATGAGCTAGGAATGGAATTGAAAATAAATTAAATTCCTGCGGGTTGAGTAAGGAACATAAATAGGATGAATAAGAAAAAATAATGCGTAGGATGAGACATCATAGAATGAATACGGAGCAACCCATATTTTTTTTCTACAAATAGACAAGTATACATGTTAATGTAAAATATTTACATTGTAAACTACTTGTGTTATAGCTTACCAGTCTCGAAATCGCCAGAATAGTATTCTTCATCTATTCCAATAAGTAGTAAATCGGTAACCAAAACGTTACATAGAATCAATTGGTTTGCAGCTGATTAATGCTTATTATTTTTTATAAGTATGCGACGACACGGCAAAAATTCCTTTGAGTCTCTTAATTCATCTTATCTTTTTTTTATACTGTCATTAATAATAGTAATTTCTATCATAATTATTAACAGATAAACAGTAAATGGCGATTTCTTTTACTGTCTGTGGTCCTCGCCCACTTCGTATTCTGGTTCATTTTCGCCGGAATTTGGTACGCTGTAGCCATGTCTTACAAGGATGATGATGGAAGGGATCACTGCGTCAATGGAACATCTTCCTTCGCTGGACTGCTGATGATGTCAGTTGAAACTCAGGTAATTCCCAGTAGTGTCAGGTATAGACAAAGTCATAACAAAACACCTGCGCAGTTTTTAAAATGCTAAATTTGAGAGAACAATTTGATAAATCCTGTAGAAACAATCAAATTTACCAGGCATCATATATGATTCTCTTCACCCATGAAGCAGAACAATATCATTGATGGCTAATTTTATTATCTATCCATTAGGTAGATTATTGAAGAATATTAAACACTTTTTATTTTATTTATATCAAATATGTATTTATTTATTTATTATACGATAATTATACGGGATAAATCCCAATCACATAATTATGAGTTAATCCAAAAGCATAATTCAAATTCAGACAAAACAATTTTTGGATTATCTATATATATGTCGAAATGAGGTTAGGCCTCGAGCAATATGTTATGTTATGTATAGCAATATGAACAAAGCAAATTTTATTTCATTACTCTAACGTGTTACACAAATGTCTATATATATTTTAAAGTGATACTCACTTTAAAGTAATGAAATTGTAATGGACGTTTGTGCAACTGGCTGTTAATAAGGTGTTAGCCTCATAACGGATTAAGTCAAAAATACCTTGAAAATAAATGTAATAATTTTATAGTAGGTATTTGTTTTTAATGTGTAGTAAATCTGAACTTAATTATCTCGTTTATCACTCACGTTTTATATCTGAGATAATGTCAGTAGTCTACAGTCTACATGACCTGATCTGAATCTGTCAATCTTTACTTAGCTTTACTTTTATAGTTGATATTTAATTATTCTGCATTACATTTAGCGTTACAGGTGAAAGTTTATGATATGTTAGCCGGCCCATTTCTTTCCGACTTTCGGCAAACAACTCAATTCTTGAATTGAGTTCTTTGCCTTGTTCTCAATAAGGAATGTATATTGGGCAGTAATTAATCCACAGATAGAATTTCTTCAGGATAAATCAGGGGCAATGGGGCACAAAATAAAAGACTTACACCCATTTTCACTAACCCTGAACATAGCTTAACTAGTAAACGCCTAATATTACGAATCGACTAAGCAGATTAGTTTAAATCCAAATTTTATTATTTTTATTTTATCCCTTGATATATTTATGACTTATCATATACGCAAATGCATAGCGCAAGAAGCCGCATAACTAATATCATAACTTTAGACATTGCTTAATTTCGTTGGTGGTTCCTAGTCAATGGTGAAATGCATTTGTACCTTAGGCGATTCCTAAATATCTAGTCGACAGATTTGGGCAACTAATAAGTGAAAACGGGCATTTAGAGAATTTCAATCACAGTTCTAATCGAATCAAACTAAACCAAAAGTGAATTGTACTGATTATCCAAAGTTTAAAATAGGGGGTGACTCATTAGTAAACTCACTAAATTTTATTCAATATTATTTATGTGTTGTTATTCAATATTTACGTTAAAGTGTCTCTATTACAGATGACAATAGGGTATGGAGTAAGATTCCCGAACGAAGAATGTCCCGAAGCAATAATCATTATGGTACTAGAGGTAAGAATAATGATATTTTGAGTACCTTATAATATTAATCAAGAAAGTTTCTTGAAGAATCAAGAAACGAGGAGCTCAATTGAGCTGTTTTTAGAGCGTTCAGACTGAGATGGATCTTTTGCATTTCTGATCATTTGATGGGTCACCAAACATTTACTAACTCGAACTGTTTAGAATGTCATTGGTCCCGGCTGCATTACATTACACATTAATGATGATGACGATAAATCAAGAACATTTCACCGAGCGGAGGACCGATTTTCAATTCTTTTTTAACTACAGGAACCGATATCATATGCGTTGAATACAGGCTATATTTTATCCCGAAAATGGGATTGAAAATTTGTATAGGGACTTAAAACGTTGCCATAGTAACCATTGTTTCCTATTCAATTTGTCATTGTAATTATATCCGTGTTATGATATGAAACGATATCTAAATAAACAGTTCCCTAGGAATCATGCGGGCGAGGCCGCTAGCGGAAACGTAATATTAGAGTAAGCCTTTATGGAACAATATGTTTACTATTACAGATAGTAGCTGGCACAGCCTTATCAGGTGGACTAATCAGTTTACTGTTCACGAAAATGGTCAGACCAAACAGACACGTAACTGATGTTGGGTTTAGCAAGAAAGCAGCAGTAAGTACTCAATTCACAGTAATTAATATGCACAAAAGTCAAAATGTTTACACTATGATTCAATGAAGGATAGTCGAAACACGATAGGCCTTGGTTTGAGATCAAACATAATTAAAATACTCTTGAAAATCGTTTTATAATTTTAATATTTTCCAGGTGTGCCTTAGAGATGGCCAACTGTGTCTACAATTCCGAGTATGGGATCTCACAAATATTCACATCATCGCAAGTACCATAACAGCTTACATGCTCAAACCTATCAGGTATAACTAATCTAACATCAACAAATTAGCTCGCGGTCCTATAAATTATAATATGGACATTGGACATAAAGAAATTGCCACTGGCTAATCATTTATAACTGTAAATTCGAAACATTAGTTAGTACTATCGGAGGAATATTTCGAAGGTCCTGTTCGAAAAAACCTACTATTCTTGACTGCTGATTGAAGTTCTTAGACCTTTAACCAAAAGTATGGCACCAAACTAAGTAAATAAATAATATCCTTTGTCTATATATAGCGATTTTTTAATTCCAAATCACAGCAGTTTCAATTTCGTACGAAACACGATCGTCAGGATACTATAAACGGTCTTACTTATGCACAGGTTTAGTGTCTTTGCTAGAAAATTATAATCATAACAATTTTGATATCAATGAACTTCTATATTATTGTCACTCTATTTCTGATTTGCAGGACCCTTGAAGGCGAACTGGTGCATAACTACATCCACCAATTAAAATTAAAGCAAGCAAATGCATTCCTCTTGTGGCCTATTACGGTTGTGCATGTTATTGATTCAGAAAGTCCACTCTACGACTTATCTGCTCAAGATATGATGGATTATAGGTAAATACATACATCATTGATTGTATGACAGGCAGAGAAAACTGATAATTACACAATACGATTCTTAGCTACATCTTTCTTTTCTTAGACGGCGCGGACACCCAAAGCCACTGACTTTCAAGTAGTTAACAAAATGTCCAAATAAGCTGTGATTCAAAATGAAAGTCAAACATCATATTTCTAAGGCTTCCGTCACATTCGAAATGTGAAATAATAAAATTCTTCGATAGAAAAAATCAAAATTTCCCCTAAAATTCTCATTTTTTCCATTTCTTGTTGTTATTGGGAGAATTGACAAATATGTATAATACTAATAGTTTGCAAATAATTGAATAACAAGAGATATTGCTGCGAAATTCATATTGTTGGGCGCAATGAGATAGACAGGGACAGTCTTTTGGCTTCATGCCTACTCTTAACATCCGCTCCTTAGTTTGTGGCTTCCGACTTCATTTTCCGTCAAAATACTACTATAGTATGTAAATTATGCACTTTGAAGTGTACCTATATGTCAAAATAAATATTACGAACGAAATTTTAATATTTGCATTGTTAGTGTCGCTTGAAAATAATGTCAAAATTCAACGGACGCTTGTGCAACGGACAATAACGGTCAAGAATGACTTTAAGCTCTAATGGATATTCTACATTTGAAAATTGGTATCACTAATGTAGCCTTAAAATAATGACAGCTTTAATGGATGTTTGTGGAAATAAAAATTCACATGAGATTCAAGCGGTATTAATGATACAAATTTTCAAATTTAGTACTTTCTTTAGAGTTTAAAAATGACATTAAATCTTGATGGACATTTGTGCAGAGTCTAAATATAATTTTATTTTCTTTTAGATTTGAGATAGTGGTTTGCCTAACTGGATCATCCAAGAACATGGGTACTGTCACCCAAAGCAGAACTTCGTATCTTTCCAAAGAAATTATCTGGGGATATAGATTCAAGAATGTGCTGTCGTAAGTAACTACTTACTTATTACTTTTTATTGTTACATGGTACATGGTAGAGCTGTTGCTCTACCATGATACAGAAACCTGTACCAATATTATAAAGATAAAAGATTTGATCGTTTGTGGTTTGCATCGAATATGCTCCAAAACTACTAGACCGATTTTAAAAAATTTTTCACCTACGTCAGCTGCATTAAATGCGGGTGACATAATTTTCATGGAGAAAGCCATATTTTTTCTTGTTTTATTACCTCGAAATATATATTATTGTTATTGTCTTTTTACGTGTAAAAGCGACTAACGTGACATTAGCGGAATTGTGTAAACGTTTATAGGTCATACATTAAAAAAAGAAGAAGAACTGAAATATGTAAAATAATTGTACATTTTTTATACTTAAGAAGTTTAAGTCCATTTTTATAAACTAATGACTTTTAACGCCATGTTTCAATACAAAGAAACACAATTCAACCAATGACGAGGTAGTATGGTCTATGACCTTAGTCTGTTCCGAAAAGCAACAAAATATATATAAAAAAAGTATCTAATAAAATTCTTTGTTGGGCATTACCTAACTTTACAGGTTTGGTGAAACGAGAAATGTCCTTATGATATTCGTAATATTGAGTTATTTAGCCTTGTTCTAGGTGAGTGAAAACGGGCATCACTCTATGATTTGTAGATAGACCAATAAAATTTATCTATTAAATAGCTACTACATAAAACTTAATGAATATTTTATATTATTAATTATTACAATTACTAATGCATTTTCTGTATTATTTTGTGTCTGGCTATTGTGGCACGTCTCCAAGCTATATCTCATGATCCGTAATAATCTAAAATAGTTGAATTTTTCACAGACGATGTAATTATGTTGCCGCTATAATAACAAATACTAAATAAAAACCGGCCAAGTACGACTCGGACTCGCACAAGAAGGGTTCCGTAACATTATAAATTAAAAAAGAAAAAAATAGGTTTGATCTTTTCTATGGAGTTGTTTGAAATTTTCTAGTTAAATATATATAATTGGTCGACTATTCTTTTATCCAACTTAAGTGTGGTGATTATATATATATATACTACTGCTGTAACGTTTGTATTTTTACCAACGACCGTTTTGTTGGTAGGAAGGGACTTGACTCTAGCGAACATAAGCTTTTTAAAGCTTAATAAGACACAAACAGTGTTTACTAAATCGAAAAACGGCCTTCCCATACCCTAATGTTTTTAAAAGACCTATGCAATAGGGAAGTACATGTAGGGAAGATTTCCTAAAAAAATTTCGAAGTTTGACTTTACCACTTTGTCGGCGTAATTTACACGTAGAATCATGCCAAATTACAACTTTCCACTACTAATAGTTTTCGAGCTAAACCACGGACGAGCGGACAGATGGACATAGCAAAACTATAAAGGGTCCTTATTTACTATGGAATCTTAAAAACACAATAAATTAATATCATACAACAACGTGATTTTTTGTGTTGGTACGGAATCCTTCGTGCGCGATTTTTGACTCGCACTGCTTGCTCTATGCTTTAGGATAATCACGAACGCCATATTTGGAAAATGTCATATTTAGAGAAATTCCATAAATGACATTAAACGAGCAATATATCTGCTCAATTTTTTATTTGTTAACTTCAACAATTGATAAAAAACCAATGCCTGATTTGGTGGTAATTTGTCATTTCCGGAAATTCCCTGCTTTCAGTATTACCCCAAAGCTTTGTTTCCAGATACTGTAAGAAGAAAGAATCATACGTGATCGATGTCGATCACTTGGACACAGTCGAACAGGTCGATACGCCTTTATGCTCCGCATCCCAGCTCAAATGTGTGGAAGTTGACATACAGTCTTCTGAACAGATTATATCAACGCCTACGTACATGTCCATATCGCCATCTAATGTGTTTTTCGTTAGGGATAACTCATCCCTAAATAGGGAGAGCTCATCTTTAACAAGAGACGATTCTTCACAAGCAGCGGAGTCGTTACCGTCTACACCAAGCTTCAGCAGGAATGGAACACAGAGAAGTTTTGGTTGGAACTTTAAAAGATTTCGAAATGACAAGTTGTATAAATAGATAATTTGTATAAATCTAGTCTTATTAAACTCATAAAGGCGAAAGATGTTTTTATTTGTTGGTTATGTGTTTACGTCTACGATATATAGGTAGAATATATCGTAGATAAAATATATAGGTAGAAAAAAAATAAAATACAAAAATGAAAATTTGGAAAGGAGATAATACGGAATGATGATGTATATTATAAAATATAGAATATGAATATAGAATATAAAGTAATAAAAAGCAACTTATTCATTTTTAAAAATAGGTCATTATCGGTGAATTTTAACGTTTATTATTTAAAATAATGTAACATTTGTAAGTTTCTATGTGATAATTTAATAAATAATTAAACATAATTTTTACGCTGATCGTAACATTATTTCCAGATACTTTAAAAGCAAACAAAATGACTAAGATATTATTGATGACACCAAAAATTTTTTTAATTACATTACTTGATAAGTATAATGATTTATGGTAAAATCGCTAGTGTTCGGTTATTTTTAGACGGTGACTTAGATTCATAAATGTTTATTATAAAAATATTTTTGTACAACAAGAAATTGAATATCGTTTTTAGAGGCAACATTATAAAAGAGTGGCATCAATCATCACTAAGATGCTCACCTGTCAGCAAAGGACATATTTGAGCTTTTTTAATAAGCAGGTAAATAATGAAAAGAAAATGTTAACATTGTCCGGTATTACAATACATTTCTTGTCCGAATCCAATATATATTTGGACGATTTTCAAGAAAAAACAATATATAAAAAACCACGCGCAATTAACCTATGAAGGTTAAGTAGGTCATTGAACTTAATTTCGCATATGGTATTGTTTTTTACTGGATCTAACAGTAAAATGTCTGGTTAATATTAAACTCCCTGTGTGGTGTAAGCAAATACTCAGTTTGTTTTGGTAACGTATAATTTAATGAATGATTAACATATTGCAGACGCTTAGACAAATAAGGTTGACTGTAGGACATTGCAGTTTTTTTTTGTTCAGATACTTTACGGCTGTAAACATCGTATTGACTTATTATAAACAAATGGTTCGCATGAAAGTCAAAGTTAAAAATAACAAAAACAAATTTCATTGATCTGTAAAAAAATTAAAAAAGTGCTTTTTTAAGCGCTTTCAACATGTCTATTTCCTGATGTCTCCGGATTCCTGAATCGCAAGATCCAGTTTTAGATTTATTCACAGCAATTACCATCAATCATTTGCATATAATAACAACCGAAGACTTTATAAGTTTCGCAAAATAGAACAGCGTCGCAATTTATTTAAAAATGGAGAGTTTAAAACCATCGACTTTTATACATTTTAACAGGATTCTGTACTTATTTCATAATTTTACGCTTAGTAGTTCTCGAGATACGAAAAAAGAAGCGGTCTTAATTTATATGATTAATACTTATTTCAGATCCATAAGCTCTTTTTCTATTTACCTCCTAAAATTAAATTAAAATTATTTACCGTCTTTGGGACACAAATATGGATCAAATTTTAACTCTATCAATCCAATGGTGTCGGATTAAATCATCTGTGATAGATGTATGATCGTATGAACAGACAACAGAGCGATCCTTTATTCATCAGGTATGTTTATTTCTTAACGGGAACGGAAGTCTAAATATACTTAAAATACATAGGTCAATAACGAATACACATTCTGATTTTCTTGTGACATTGTGATTTTCTTTTTCATCCATACTGAAAGACGATCACCATTCTCGCTATAATTATAGCCGTAGCTATAAAACTCAATATTTCATCAATTAATATGTTTATATTCCATTATGAATAGCTGTTTATTATTATTTAATCAAACAGTTTATTGTATTTGAGATATCGTAATTCCTTATATTATATTATTTAGTTTCGGCTTGCCGATTCTCGACTTTGTGTCGGTTGCATAAATATCCCGTCCTACAGTATTGCAGTATTGTTTAAAAACACCGTGTCTCCTAGTACCTTACTGAATATGGCGGTTGTGTGTATGGCTGCTTGTTTTTGTAAAATTGTAAAGTCTATGTTGGCGTTCAATTGACTTAAATATCTTTGTGGGCTTTTACTAATTATACCTGTAGCTCCCACCACTATTGGGATAACTGCAGTTTATATATTATATTATATTATATTATATTATATTATATTATATTATATTATATTATATTATATTATATTATATTATATTATATTATATTATATTATATTATTATATTATATTATATTATATTATATTATATTATATTATATTATATTATATTATATTATATTATATTATATTATATTATATTATATTATATTATATTATATTATATTATATTATATTATATTATATTATATTATTAAGTTTCGGCTTGCCGATTCTCGACTTTATGTCGGTTGCATAAATATCCCGTCCTACATCCCGTAAGAAAAAGGATATTATTATAATATAATATACTATACTTACTTTACTATTACGTCAAATAGGACTTTATACAAATAGGCTTAATATCAAAGTCACATTCAGCAAATAATATTATATAACGTTTGATGAACTAACGCTTAGAATTCAATTTATAAAGAAAATTTTTGAATAGAGTGAATTGAATAGAGTTTTTTTAAAGAAAACATTGATGTTTTGTCAATCACGCCGAAACTACTTAACGGATTTTGATGAAATTTGGTATACAGATAGGGTATTAGCTGACTTAGATAAAAGGATACTTTTTATCCCACTTAACATTTCCCTAGGGTCCACACGGGCGAAGCCGCTGGCGAAAGTTAGTTATTAATAATTCAGAACAAAAATAAATAAGTTGCCTGTAAGAAGATTGCGATACTAACTGCTTGCTGCTTTTGTTTCACAATGAAGGTGTAAAGGTTCAAGAAGATTCTTTTTTTTTTCTATGTAATACATATGAATTTTTATGTATGTAATACAAACATATCTTAAAATACATATTTTACATACATGTTTACAAAGGCTGACTCTACTCTTTATCAATAAAGAAATAAAAGGTTCTTCCTTATCAAAATTAGTTTTCCTTCAATCAAAAAACATTGGAATATGTGATAATTTGATATGTTTCTTAATAAATTCCGAAAGATTTCACTGTTTTTTATTTCTTTGTAAATTATTGCAAAAAGTCATCGATGTTTGGCTTACGATGATGACATCGATGTCAACATCGATGTTTTTCTTATATCGATCATCCCTAATCCAAATCCACGCGAGCTAAGTTTTTTGACGATTTCAAAAATGGAGGAGGTTACGTTTTTGTGTGTTGTGGTTACGCGATTACTCCGCCTTCTTTTATTCAACAGTTTAATTCGACAGAATCCGAGGTGGTCCCATTTAAATTTTATCAGCGAAAAAATAAAAGACTTCTACGTTCAACGAGTATTACGAATGATATCCATTTTGTACATAGATTATATCCGTAAAGCTTAAGTCGTAAAGCGTAACGAAAAGCTAGTCTTACATACTTTACCTTTGGTTGTCTTGCAACCGATCCTCGTATTACTTCAGCTTTCCTCAGGTTAAAAATAAAAATTCCAGGACCTTCGTTGTAAATATAATTTAATCTTTTCTTGATACCAATAAAAGGTATTTATATAAAGTAAGTACCTATCTAAGTATTACTAGAAATAATGATATAAATTCATTTTTCAAAAAATGAAAGCGGTTAAATTTCTCAAGAAATATTGAAGTTGGGCAGTTAATATTTAATAAACTACAGAAAACTTCAGCCCGAACAATCCTCGAAAATGTAAGAAGGTAAGGTGAAATTCCACAAGAAAAATTAAACCTTCTTGAGTGCACTCAATAACAAATGACACGTAGGCCCTCAGCTACAATTATCGCTGGGTAGTTTTGTTATCTTTGCATGTGGCTTGACATATTTTATAATTGAAGCACGTTTTACGTAAATGTCCTAATTATTATTTTTCATTCTTAATATGCCTTTTGTAACATTGCATTGCATGAGTCTTAATACAACGATTTTATCATATCCACAAGTCATTTCCACTTACATTAACACGTTCAATTGCTGCTAAGTAATTATGTCAATTGACTCAACTAACTCAAATTTTCTATCCAAGTAACCTTTATTGTAGCACTAAATAAAGCCTGTTTTCACTTACAAAACTGTATTGAAAAGTTTAAGAATTTAAATAATAATAGCCTTTAAGTGCGGAAAGGAATATATTACAAGATGCACCTACTTAGGTATCTTTATATTTATATATAAGAATTTATATAAGTTAAAAGTTTTTTCAGACAGTATATTAACAAGTCGATCCTGTTGTGTATAATTTTTTAGTATAAGAGCTAGAATTATTTTGGATTTTCCTCACTATTATATAATCTGTCATTATGAACTTAAATATACAGGCACACGGCTATAAATGATAGTGTGGTTCCAGTGCAAATATGTCATTTATTCTCCTTTAACTACTGTAATATTTGTTATATCATAAATTTAACTCGCACAATTCTATTAGAATACCTTTACTTCAACTACTTAAAAAGATTTTTTTTTTATTAAAGCAAAATTCATTGTTTCTTTATTATTTTTACAACTCTTTAAAACATAAGCAATATTTTAAATCACCCTCCATTTCTCTAGGTATTAGAATCCTTTAAAGTGCTAATTAAAAAAAAATAGGTAGGTCAAGTTTTCACTTTGCAATATTTTTTCTAATAACATTTTCAATTTAGTGTGGTTACTGAGTTAACACAGAAATATTGTTGTTTATATATGAGTATAATGTAAACGCTTGCACTAGATGCATAAATAAATGAATGTGTTTAGCTAAGAGAGGGCGGCGACTCCCGCAGAGGGTGACTCCTCTCCACCGTCCGCGAAAGGAGTCCCAGCGAAGAAACCGAGTTCTTCCTATACGCGTAACGTGACCCGCAGCGGGTTTTACCAGGTAAGCCCATATTAACTTGCCCTTTTGAGGACGGGGTGGTCGGAGAGCCCTAGTTTAAGACTTAAGGTGTATTTCCCCTGCGTTATAAAAAAAAGGGAGGGCGACGACGCGTGGTTGCGACAGGTCCACGAAATCGTCTTTTTTGAGACAACTTCTGGATAGGTTATCTCAACATTTTTGTATTAGACCAAAAGGAAAGAAATATTTTTTATTTTTCCTAAAAACATATTAAAATTATTATATTTAAATTTGGATGGTGACTAAAAAGTCATCCGTATAACCTACAACAAACATTATTGCATATTTTTAATATAAGAAAATATAGCGTCCATATATAAGTACCTAGTATTATGGACCGACGAATTGGTTGAGATTATTACATAAAATTATTTTTTATATTATTGTTCCACAATATTTGACTAATAAAATGAAGTGAATGATCTGAACGCGAAATATTTTCTCATTACGTTGACAAGTATCTTTAGATGCAAATCACATCCTAAAACAAAGTACCTAACTAAAACACATGTAGTCGAAAAATATATCAATAAAATAACATCAATCGGCCATTCAAGGCATTTATTTACCTTTTAAGCTTAGTAACACTGCACTTGACCGGATTAATCGAGTCAAGTTAGATGTTAGCAGTACGTTCTACTATCAATTCCTACAAAATGATTCATCGCAATGAGTAATTTTACCTATAATAGGTATGTTTCTATAATGTGTGCATCACAGTGTCAAACTAACGTAGAGCCAAGTAGTAAAGTAAAGTTACAAAGCAATTGTATTTGAGTGAGTGACCTTGCCTTTTTACTCTAGGAGTGTATCACTATTTATTAGTAATCAGGAATCTCGTTTATGTTGCCTTTGACATTTACAGTCATAACAACTTTTGTACAAATTTCGTATTATTATTTAATGGAATAACACCAAAATTATTGTAAAAATAAACAATTATTTTCGATGTTGTTCTTTCCACTTTGCAACTGAAAATAAATCCGTGTTCCACTTCATAAGTGATTGAATCAAACCACAATCCAAATATTTTTAGGAGATGTTCAGACTCTTTGAGAGAGGATAACAGCGTCGTCATGTGTGTCTGATTTTATGGTGGAATATATTTTCTTTGACGAAAATGATATACCAAT